GCTTATCAATGCTACCGGTTTGAATATTGGTTTCTGTAATTTAACTACCAATGAGCGTATTAGTTTAGAATCGAATTGTCTTACAATGATTTTTGCTACTAAGGGTGCTTTCACTATAGATATTAGAAATGGAACCGCTTGGTTTTCTTCAAAACCCATTTATTTATTAGATGCAAATAATGATGTGCGTAGCGGTAAACATTCAGTGTTAGCTAGCAATTCTAGTATTGATATTGTTATACAACGTTCTGGAGAGGTGTTACATTTTGTATTACTGTACACAATTGAAAAAGAACGAAGGGTACTTAAATTATGCACGAAATATGTCATTACTAATTTTTCTAAACATGAGCTTTATGTACTCTCATTCGCAATGGATCACAAAGAAAGTTCAACTAGAGAATGTGTGAGGACACTAGATATGGACGCCAAGAAACTACATTTGAAAACAGTGATGTCTGCTACTAATTGGTAATATATTGTATATAATTATATCAAATTAAATCAACAGTGTTATTACTTTCCATAGCATTGGTCTGAACATCGATTCATTTTATGATTTGAACGTAAAGAAGTCTAAGCGCACTAACGATACTGCATTTGTTTATTTTGTTTGCATTAAATTTTCTAATGATTCTGAAATTTCAATACCCATTCCACTATCGATGCCCTTTACGCGTCGTTGCCTTAGCATACAAAATGAAAGCGATTCATTGCCATTTGTAGTGACTTTGATTGAAAAAAATGGCATACATTATCTAAATGTGTTTGATGACATATCACCTTCGATATTATTTAACAATCAGACAGATATTGTTTTTGTAGTTGCACAAACTAAAGCTTCGGAAAACAGCAAAGTCTCCAGTACTGTGTCAGAATATCATGGGCGCCATTTTGATTGGTTTCAACTTTTGCCAGCGCACAGTAACTGTTTCTATACACCACCGGAAATGTATATAAATTTTCCAGATATTGAGTCTTCCGTATGTAATTTAACAATTGCACTTTATGATGGTGAGTAAAATTCTTTTATATAATATTTTTCGATCATTATATATATATATCTTTTATTTATATTATTTTTAGATCAAATAAAGAAAAATAAAATATGTTGGTCAAAACCAATAAGCACTGATAAATCTTGGGAAAAGTTTCTGCATATTCCAAACCATGGCGATGTAAAAATTATAATCTGTGATAAACATAGAGTGATACGTTTTTCAATTTATTATATAACAGAGGTAAATAATGTTTATATATGTATATGATCATAACATATTTAACTATAATATAAACAAATATTAGCTTATGTGATTAATCTGACTTAAGTGTAGACTTTCTGGAAACTGAATCTATTATTATTGGGTTTTAACTATCTTTTATATTGGTGAAAAATATGGTTGGGTGTTAATGTAGGAGAATGAAAATAAATGATGGTATTGTGGGTTAAGTAAAATAAGATATAGGGAATACGAAAGTGTTTAAAAGAACAGAAAAGGTTCTAACCTATTCAGAATCCTTGCAACATCAGTAGAACGAAAGTACAGATCTTTTAGGATCCGTTATACGTGCATATCGAGAGGCAAGATAAACAGATAGACTTCATAACACAGCATAGAACTGTAGATTGAATACGTAATGATGACAGCTTTATTCGTGTTAAATAAGTATTAAGCTCTTCTTGTGAAATAATTTTGTTAGCTAAGTGTCGAGAAGACACTATCTTTTCAATGGAAGGCTTTGTAGTATATTGTACTCACGCATTGATATGGGGGTTTCAGCGCCTTACTCGCTATTTAAAAAAATCGGTGATCTAATCTTGAATCTTTAACTTATGAGTTAAGATGGACAAATAAATTCCTTTAGTTCAGAAAATAATAATTCTGCTAATTATATAAAATTTGAATTGTTGGTTTACTCTTTCTCTGATATATTTAGATACTTAACAAAGAAATAATTGTATTGAATAAAAAAACATAGAGACAAGAGTCATGGAAGTTGGGACATATAAGTCTAAAAAGAGTCGGTAAGAGAATTATCTTGAAGACACAATAAACGTTTAATCTTTTTAGACCCGTGAAAGTTAAGATATTTTAATGTTATTAAGATATTTTAATCGATCTTGTGGTAAATATGCAATAACCAACTAGTCCCTAAAGTTTGCTGACGATGTTTTATGGTAGACTATGCCGAACTCCCTTGAAAGTTTAATACACATTATTATAGTTTTCGTGTGTAATCCGTTATAGTTTAGTCTGTGATAAATTTAATCTTGCTATTGTCGTAGAATCTGCTTTTACGTTTTTTAAAACCTGTCTTATAATCAAACTTTGGCTACTGGAGACAGCAAATACTACTATATATCAGCAAATATCAGCAAATATGACATCACAAATATGTTCATCACAATATGAACATCACTCAAGGCTATCCGTTTGCAACAATGATATTATATGATATCACTCTTCACTAGGGGCTATCCGTTTGTAACAATGATATCATATTTTATTCCTTATTATTCTCTATTTTCTATTTATGACCTAATTTATTTAAAAAGATTAATAGTAAATAACTTGTTCAAAAATACTTTATATAAATATACCCCAGATTAGCTATTGTGTTATATAATTTATGTTAATAACTCTATGTTAAGAAATAGAAGTTTATGTATATCTTTTAATAATTTAAATACAAAAATATTCTTACAGCAAACGGAATTCTCTGTTAAAGATCTACGCTCAAGACTGCTCACATCTCATCCACCAATCGATGCTGAAACTACAAAACATTCCAATTTGATGTTAGACTATAAAAACTCTAGTGCCAGTTCTGGATTATCCATAATACATCAAAAGTGTTCCCATTTTAGTGAAGAACATCAGCAAAAAATGACAACGAACGTTAAAATTTTCATAAAGGAAGTAAATTTCTGTCTTAACACAGACTCCAAAGATCGTGATTATGTGAAACGTGAGATATTCGCTTTGTACGGCGATGACTTTCTACTCTCGTACGAGGATGAAAGTGATAAACGTCAACTAAACATTGCATTTACAAATTTACAGATTGATAATCAACTATATACTTCTGGAAAGTATGACTTCCCTGTAGTGCTATGTGCACAAGACTTATACAAACGTACCAACTCTATGCCACAAGTGCATGACTTGGATCAAACCTATAAGAATCTTGAAAGTCGTTCGTTTATGGCACTTTTCGTCTTAAATTTTTACAACGACGAATTTAAATTATGTTCGATTAAATGTAGTTTTAGTCCAATACGAACTTATATCGAAGACGCTTACTTGAATGATTTGTTGGATGCTATGGTAGAATGTGAACCTTCAAATTGTGTTTTTGTGCTAACAGCAGAGGAACTTCCTATTACATTACAAGCCGGCGAAAATTTACTGCCACGTGACGTTGCTGCGCAAGCGATTTGCATATCAGAACCTTTACAGTTGCGCTCATTTCGTATTGAGCCATTAAGTGTGCTATTGTCAGTACACACATCTGTGCGTTTATATATAGCATTGGATCATTCACCGCTTTCGTTTGGTACATATGAACGTGAACATATTATTACTGCGCCATTACGTTTCGGACAGTCGTTAGGTATGCATTATTTATCGGGCGCTATATTCGGTGCTGGTTGGGTTGTGGGTTCACTGGAAATACTAGGTAGTCCAAGTGGCTTAGCGCGTTCGTTTACAACTGGTTTGCGTGATTTTGTATCAATGCCGGTGCAAGGTCTGTTTCGTGGTCCGTGGGGTTTTATTGTAGGCATAACACAGGGTTCTGCATCTCTATTACGCAATGTAACTGCTGGTACGGTCAATTCAGTCACAAAATTAGCAGCTTCAGTAGCGCGTAACTTAGATAGACTTACCTTGGATACCGAACATTTAGAACGCACAGAAGCATTACGTCGTACACGACCACAGGGCTTTACTGAGGGCTTTACACAGGGTATAACTGGCTTTGGTATAAGTTTACTTGGTGCGGTTGGTGGCATAGCGAGGCATACACTTGAAGCTCGTTCACCGGTCGAAGTTGTGACAGGTGTTGGCAAAGGTATTGTTGGCGCTTTTACAAAACCAATAAGTGGCGCTGCTGAATTGGTGGCACTTACCGGGCAGGGTATGTTGCAATCTGTGGGCTTCAATGCAATGCCACAACAGCGTATGTCGTCATTATACTACAATAAAGAGAGTATTCCGTCTGCATATCGAATTTGGAAATTACTACCAGGAGTGTTAAGCACTGATCAAATATTGGCCTATCATGAAGTTACACTTCTCGTTCCGTTAAAAACACAGCGTGCTTATATATTTTTAACCTCGGCTGTGTTTGCTGCTTTGGATGCACAATGGGATAAATTACTGTTTGCATGTCCTGTAGATAAAGTTGAAATATTAGCAGATCGTAATGATAAGACATTAGTTTATGTACGTGTAGCGAGAGAAAAAGAAGATATCGAAGAGGTAAGTTTGAATTAATATACTCATATTGTTTTTATAATTCATTTTATATTTCATGCAGGATATGGACTATACTAATCAACGCATTATGAGTTTTTTGCATTCATCATTCATTAGTCGGGAGCGTACTATTACTGCAGATTCACTTGATGACATGCTACAATCGCAAGATGGTAGCGAAGAGGCTACCAGAAATCTGGAGTGTGCATTTTATATAAACGAGAATATTGGAGAACATTTAATACAGTACTTGAAAATTATGCACAGAAAGTTGTAAAATATCTTTTCATATTTTTTTAAAATAATCGGTGTTTAGTTTAGGGTTAAGAGCAGACAACGTAAATTGTAATTGTATGAAAAAGCCAATAATGTATTAGTATATTTTAGTTTAACATATATATGTATATATATTTGCACGTCTTAATAAATTTATTATATCGAATTTTATATTCAGTGTATTTATCTTAACGAGAAGCAATGGAAATTATGAAGATGTGTGGTATAAGAGAATAATCTCCTTACGAATCTCCATTTCGTATTGTTGGGTTTTGTTTTTTGACAGCTTATGTAGTTTCTTTACATAGTTTAGATGTACTAGTAATTGGAGCTTCAACTTTAAGTCAATTAGTGGGGAGGAAATCCAGAAATATCTATCGAATTGAATAGCAAAGTTTACAACTTCTCTGCCTAAAGGTATGAATTGTATAGAATATGTGGGTAGCATGATTTATATGGATGTTGGTACAATTTGATCATCGAATATAAGTATCTTTGTAGATAGTCGGGTAGCAATGAAAGCAATTGAATTCAGAACGGCAAATTACGGTTTGTAATAATAAGTTTTACCTCAGTTACTAATCATTTAATATCACAAGGTATTCCTTTGAATTTCGGATAAGCCAGGCAACCTGTAAATAGATAAAAATCAAGAAAAACTTCTGTAATGAAGATCTCAACTATTATCTTCTTGTGTAGACTGCTTGTTTACAAACATAGTAGAAATCATTCAACGTAGGTGAATCTGTAACGCACGGCATGTGGAATGATCGCGAAAATTCTGTAGTAACTTAAATTTATGGCCTAGATTTGATAAGGCAGGTACGAAAAAATTTCTGGGTTTTAGAAAAGCAGAGAAGCTTGCGCTTTCTGAATGCTAACATGGTACCGTGATCTTGATTCGATAGTTCGAAGTTGCTATGATGAAAAAGCGTTGGAATGCGTTGCTATGATGAAAAAGCGTTGGAATCCGTTCTTCACTTTCTATATTTCTTTTTAGAACTTCAAACATAGCGATTTCATTGTATATAGGATCGTTTCCTTACCGGCTTGTCAGAATTGTGAATTGTTATTTATTGAAGTTGGCAAGCATATCTACTTCATCCTTTAGGTGCGCTTCATTTTATTGACACTGTTAAAACTGTCCTTTATGCTTAAACAATAACAATATGGATATCGACAATTTTCCCTTCGTCACTTGAATACTGCTAAATGGACTTAAAGAATTGTTGTGGTGATCATCTATTTTTCTAAATAGTTTCCGGGCTCTAGCGTTTATGTGCTTGGGGATGGTTTTAATAGAAAGATCTGTATTAATATTAGAGTTTCTGATATACCAGAGGGTTTTAAATATTCTTTTTAAGGTGATGATTTAAAATTTTTGTGGTTTATTAATGGTAGATTAAGCTGCTTTACCACGACCCAGCTACACAGCAAAAGTGATCCGTTCACTTGCATAAAGATGAGCACTCCCGGTTTAACTTTTTGCTTCTAAAGGACTGTTATTCAGAGTTTAATAGCGATAGACTTACTTTATCTGGAGGGCTAAATAATTTAAGAAGGTAAGTACATCGAATAAAAATGAACAATCAATGATTGATTGATTGGCCTCTCTTTGGTAACTTAAGGGCATTGCAATAGACAATAGATGTCTTCAAGTAGTAATACTGATAATTATATTATTTTCTGTTCTTATTACTTAAGGGAAGATATATATTTGTTATATATTTCTTAAAGAAATGACATATCTTAATTATCTATTATATTCATCTTTAATTGGGTTTATTACTGTTATCACTATTACTTTAAATATATTTAGTCGTTACTTAGTAATCATTAAATTAAGTGCACACTACTCCCGTTTGTCGGTTCAATTTGCTCCGCTTCACCATTAAATCCTTAACATATAGGATAATGGTTTAAGATAATAATTACTTCTGGCGGTATACCTCTTAACTTTCATTTTAATTATTTATAAATGAGTATTAACGGCACCATGTTCGAGCACAAGGACGTTGGCAACATTGCACTAATTAATTGATTGAAGTTAAGCAGTATCTGTTGTTGTAAGGTAAACGGGAGGATGTTGCAGAAAGTACATATTTTTAAACTTAGCAATTTTAAAAAATTGCTTCAATATTGTTTTTTGAAATAAGAACAGTTGCTGCTCTGCACAAGTATTGGTACATTTTCGTTTATATGTGTATTTTTCTTCTCCAGCAGCAAACGGTTGAAGTGCAGTATGTGAGAGTGAACGTAAATGTAAACGTTATCCTTAATCCTTAATAAATTACACTATGAAAGTGTAAAATAAAACGATGTGAGGAAGCTTTGCAGTTTAAGCTGAAACAGCAGCAGATGTCGATAAAACCGTTGGCATTAAATAAATTGGCTGCATTTTAATTTGCAATTTGTGTTCAATGGGCAAGACGCAAACAAGCAACAATTGCCAACATACAAAAGATTCAATTAAAAGGAGTCTGGTGGCATGTGGCACTGACAGCTATTGGAATGCTGTTGTGGTGCATGTACCCATCATCAGTTTATGTTCCGAGAACATTGGAAACATAAACAAACTTGTTAAGTTGCTGCAATACAAGACAGAAATGCACTGAGCGATTAACACAAGTGGTGTAAGCGGGTGCATATGAGCAAAACTCAAAAGGAATTGGAAATGTTTTCCGTATGATAGAAGTTGCCGTATGCAGTTTTATTTTCCACACCAATGCATTAAATGCGATTAATATATTACCTCATTGGAACTACAAGAGTGCCTGTAAGGATACTCAATATTATTGGCTCTGCTATTTCACTTGGTAATAATTTTTACATAAAATAATTTACCAGTTTTGAAATATTATTCCTGATGAATAATATTTTTTATGGTATTTTACTAAAAAATTTTTTAAAAAAGGAAGGAAGAAGAAAATAACTAGGTGTAAAATAAATTAGTCATATGTTAATAAAACGATATTTAATAAAAGCCAGTACAAGAATTAAAATATTTCAATTAAATAAATAGGTGCTACTACTATGCTCACGAGATTAAAATCGGGGGATCAGTATGGATATAAATTTTCTACGGAATGTTTTTATTATTATTATTTAGTCTTTAGTCTTTTTTTTTTATTCGTCTTCCTTAATGTATAATGTAATAAAATGGCAAGCTTATCATTAAGAGAAGGAGATATGATATCCCTAAAGTCAAATTGATATGTATTTACTGAAGAGTTGTTTTGAATTATATTCTTAATGTATGATATCATAGTTTGTTTTATTATGAATATATGTTTTAGTTATAATAACACTCCGCTCTGAGGAATAAGTCAAATAGACTTGGAAACTTCAGCGACATTTATATAAAAAATATTTATAAAAAATAGAAAAAAACTTTAACAACATAAATAATTGAAGATCTTATTTAACCTTTTTTTCTCTTTCTTGATATGTAAGGTCTGGAAAGTGTAAGCTTTATACTCATCAAAAAGAAGACCGAAATATAACTTGAGTGAAAATTGATATGTATTTTATGAAGGATATTCTGTGAACCTTAGTTTTAATGTGATATGTTAAACACATTTTAACATCAATATCTCTTTTCTTAAAGTGAAAACCCTTATCAGTTTTTTGTTTTTCTTTTGCAGCTTCTTACTTGCATTTTTTCCAGAACTCTTATACACAGTCTACCTATCTCATTTTCTATTTTCCGATAAGCTCTAATTTATCCACGTATGAAAGATCTCAGCTATTTTAAGCTTTTGGTTATATATCATACATATATTTTTAATATATATAAGTATTCTATCATTTAACGAGGTATGCTTAGCATGCAGTGTTTATTGTATGGCATATTTATGTACAATGATAATAATAATTCAAGATATAGCAATAAGTCCAGATTACTATATCTGGAATAATAAATTACAAGAATTAGAATATTAATAGATTATTAGATTATTAGAATAGAACAGATTTTTTTTTAATGTTAATTATTCGGCAAAAAGCTACGCTTTTTATGACGACAAAGAAGCTATTTTAAGAGTTAGAAGGGTTCGTATAGAAAAGAAAAGACAAAATCAAAAATTTAGTTAATATATTGAAATTTGGTTGACCATACAACGCTGTTTCGTATATTGCCAAGTACTCATCATCAGCGGTCGTAGGAAATATTCCAATTTTTTTAATGAGTTTATAGGCCGTTTATAATTTGTTTAGACTGCAAGTGCCAGTCTTCGAATAGTTCCTGTTAAATTAGAAGCGAGTAGCCAAGACTGCACAAACTTTCAGTGCTCTAGTTCCAGGTTTTCTTTTGTCAGTTTTTTATTATTTAAATAGTGACCAAAGCACTTGCCGTGCTTTAAATTATAACGAGCTTATGAACTACAGCTTCATTTGGAAACACAAGTTCAACGAATTGAAAATGAATTTTTGAGGTTGCCTATTTTATTTCAAAGCTTGTTGATAATCGTCCCAGTAGTACTAATTTATTTTGTAGTCTACGTATTTATCCACCTACTTAGATAGGTACGTTTGGTTGTCAGCTTCCTTTTTTACACAAAGACAGTTTAGTTAGACCAATGTGAGATAACTGACTGTCTCAATAGGATCCACAGCAAATCAAGATCCCTAGTTAAATTAACCGGTTCCAAAATCGATGTTCAAATTGTAGTAATCTTATTGGAGCCACATATAACATATCCTTATTTACTTCGTATTATACACTGTATAGGAATAGAGAAAATATTTGTGGATTTCTTTCCTTATATCAATCAGTGTGTTGTATAATGTTGAGCATAGGGCCTAATTGTATAAAATAAAACACATATATGAGTCATATTTTAATGATTGCAGTTTAAAATTAATTTGCAATATTTAATTTTCCTGCAATATTTTTATGCCATAAAATCCTTAAAAACCAGCACTCAATTTCTAATTTCAATTGTATCGTTTTAAAATTTTTATTTGTTTTCAAACTTTTTGCCTTAATTAAAAACGGGTGCCAACATATATATATATGTAGATATACATATTTATCTACATATATGATGTATTTCAAACACGTTTTTATATTTCTAAAACATGTGACAAAGTTTTAATGACTTCGATTTTTGAAATTTTATTTTTATTCATTT